TCGGCCTCCTGAAGACAAAACGGAGTGAGTGGCATTGCTGCCCACCTTACTGAAAACGAAGAAGAGAAGTTTCTGTTTATCTGCAGATTCATCCTGGCTTGGTAAATCTCTGTTGATTGAATAATTAACTAGTGAAATAATTTAGTATCCTTTACTCAAGTGGCTGATTTGTTTTAAAGTCAAGAGGAGAGATGGGAGCTTGTTGGCTTTTCTTATCAAGAATTCCTCAAAGGGACTTGAAGTGTTTAACTTTGGTTCCATTGTTAGAAGCCGAGATCTCTGTCCTGACAAAAGAAGATTGTTCACAGTCACCTCTCCCTCGCCTTTCCCCCTCTGATTTGGGGGTGCTGCTTGGAAGTCTTTGGAGGTGAACCTCTTTGCTCTTCCTAGCAAGCAGCCAAGGGTCAGGGATGGGGAGAAGGGCCAGAACAAGCGAACCCTCCGAATGGACCCATCGCTGCCGTCGCTATCCAACTAGCGGCTCCTGCTGAGCCTCTTTGGACAGGAACAGGCTACCGGGGGGGGGTTATGGTTGGGGTGGGTTCCCTCCCTCCCTGTGGTAGATTTGCCCTTCTGGCCTTGGCGCCTGGTTAAGGCAGCAAATGGTGCTTATGGACAGGGCTGAGAGGCATGTGAAATAAGCAGCTGCGATGGGACCCAAGATGCCCCTTTGGATACTGGGCCATGAAGGGATGCCAAGGAGGTGCCAAATGGGAACGGCCAACTGCTCCTGGCTGGCATTGAGGCCGGGGAAGGGGAGGGTGACTAGAGGAGAACCTGGCTCAGCCTGGCCATGCCCGGGCCTCCCAGTCAGCACCCACCCCCTGAGCCTGGGAGAGTTCCCTACCCACTATTCACGGAGCTCCCTCTGGCCCATACCCCAGGGGCACAGAGGCAGCCACTCTGCAGCTGGCATCTTCCCTTGGCAGCACCATCTTGCTTGAAGGGTAAATCGCCTCCTGAGCGTGGCCTTGCCCAGGCGCTGAGCTGCCCACCCCCAAATCAGCAGCTCCTAATTTTTTTCTGCAAAGCGTGGCACTCTTTGACCCTCACAAGGCTCCCACATGACCTGTGAGCCAAGGATGAAAACCTCTTGAATGTAACAAGAAGGGAACTGAGGCAGGGCATTGGAGCAATAGTTGCCTCTCCAAGCAGGGAGAATGGCCCCAAATCAGCAGCCATTGGTTCTCCCTCTCAGAGTCCCCACCGGCTTTGCAGACATTTGCCCTCTGGGCTTGAGGACAGCTCTTGTCTTCTTCCTGTTCGCCTAAATGTGCTGCGGGGGTGGGACAACTGGTTCTTCGTAGCCCCAGCAGAGCGTAAAGGGAGCCTGCACACCCCTCTTCCTGAGGCCTTTTGAAAGCTGCTCAAGCGAGGCGGGGGGGGGGGGGGAACGACTGAAAGAGCTTCCCAACCAGGACAAAGCCATCGCTCTCTCCCTCCCCCGTGTTTGGTAATGGCAACCGTTTGGGGAGCACCTCAGCAAATGAGCCACCTCATCTCTCAACGTCTCTTTCTTCATGACAGAAATGGCAGGTCAGCAAGAAGCCCCCTGAGCCACACGCCCAAAAGACTTTGGAAACGCTCACTCCCACCTCCAGGCTGCAATTCCCAGATTCTAGGGCATTGGCCTCATTTTCCACAGGGGAAGGCGGGGCGGATAATGGTTGGCCGTTTCCCGTGCTTCCTGGAATCGGCCAACCCATAGGATAGGGCAAGGCTGACCCTCTGTCTGTCCTGGGGCCTGTGCTGCTCCTGATCCTGTGGGCATCCTTGTCTTTCCATCTGCCTGATGTCTCCTCCGCCCCCAAGAACGTGGTCCCATACGCCTGCGTGGTTTCCACTTTGAGGCAACTGGAAACCAGCAGTGACTGCCTTGCTGGGTGTTCACTGCAAGACCCCCACCCACCTCCTTCCTCCCTCCCTTGACCCATGGCCTTCCTTTCCCCTCCTTTTGGCCAGGCCTGGTGGGGTGTCAGGGATATGTTCCTTTTGGGTCATTCCTCTGAATGGGGCTTGGGAGCGGGGTGGAGATTGCAGGCTGGCCTTCTGCCCATCGCCATGGCGGGGGGGCTTCTGAAGAGATGGGCTCTGGAGGGCCGTGGGAGCCCAGAGTTTAAAGAGAGGAGATTTCGAGAGTGCCAGCTCTGCTTGTGTTGCAAAGGTCACAACTGCTCACCTAGGCAGCAGGGATATTCGGAATTATGAAGAGTTAGCCATCTTTCTCGCTCAATCCAGGGACAGGAATCCCAGCACCACAGACCTCACTGCCTCCCTTGAAGAAGGCCAGTGGCCAGAGGAGAGACCCAGGTTGGGTGGGACCTTTTCCTGCCGACCTCCTTAGAAACGCAGCCTTGCACATGTTGACATCAACAGGTTTGCAAGAAGAACATTCCCGAAGTCTGCATGGTCCTTCTTCACTGGGCTTTCCGGCCTTCCAGGCATCGAGCAACTGGAGCCAAGGCTGACCTTCCAAGGCCCCCTTACTTAGCCATGGCGTTCCCAAGACCTCCGTTCAGCGGACTTGATCCTGGCAGCCTGTGAATGTTGTTCCTGCCGGACTCCCCACCATCTGCTTTGAACTTCTTGCTCTCCCATGCCAAGCCAGTCAAGAAGATTTATGGTGCTGTCTTCTGAGGGCCATATTTTATGCTTTAAAAAGATATTCACTTGCAAGGAGAATGCTCCTCTTCTTGTAACCATTACTGAATTCCTGAAGGGAGTTACTGGGAGAAATGCGGACTCGGAAATCCAGCATGCTTGCAATCTGGCCGTCCTCAGGCTTAGGAATCTAAGGATCCAGCAGGAGCCTTAAAGACAGTCAAAAGCCTGCAATCTTTCCAGTCACCCAGGTTGAGCAGATGCCCCATGCAGGAGTCGATCCCTTGAGGCCATCTCTTTCTCTGGCCGAGAGCTCCCTTGAGAGACCCTGTGATCTCTGCAGAGATGGGCAGTCAAGGAAGGAAGGGCATCTTGCCTCTGCTTGGCCATTCTGCTTTCTGATGGCCCCCGGTTAGTGGAAGGTACTGAAGCGAAAGGCCCATTCCGAACAGAGAGAGCTGCTGCTTAATATGAGAGTTGATGGGCTCAGATTTCTGCTGTTTAATTGGGTGGGATTGGAATTGTTTGGGCTGGAGTAGCAGGGTTGCTCCCTCTCTGCTGCCTTCCTGTCCCTTCTTCTGACACCCCCCCCCCACTCTTCCCCTCTCTGACTTTCGGTCCAGAGGACAGAGGAGAGGCTGGATTGGGCCCTTCTGATTTTAAAACCATTCTTGTTCCAAGGAGTTGCTGTGAAGGGAAAAGACGATGCTGGCTTATTATGTTAATGCCTGCTTCAGCTTTCTTTCAAGGCAGATACCAAAGGAGAGCTGGATCCATGGATCTCCTCTAGCAGCTCTTTTAAAATGTGGCTAAGCAGAGGCTTCAAATCAGGGGCAGCTGCTGTTGGATTTGGAGGTAGGTTGCACTAGCCCTTCAAGCCCCTGGACCACTTGGGGTCATCTTGAGTCATCAGGTTAGCCATCTTCCTGCATCTCAGAAAGGGATCCATGTTTGAATGTCTTCCAGGTGCAAAGACATGGATTGGATTAATAAGATCATCAAAAAGCAATGAAAGCATTTTAGCTCATCTTCAGCCTGGACTGAAAGGCTGCTTACAAGCCACGCCAAGAAAGCTTGCAAGGCCAGGCGCCTTTGCACTGTGGTCTTCTCCGGTTCCACCTCAGCCACCTTTAAAGACCCTCTGCTGCTTTTCAGGTCAGGCACACCTTTCCGTGGAGAGGAGCCATAGCTTCCCCAAGGCAGGCCTGTGACGACAACTCTTCCCGAGGAGGCCCAGCTGGCCGGGAGGCAAACAACCCGGGAGGGCAGGGAGGGGTGGCAGGGTGCTGTTGCACAATGTTTGTGGTGCTGGCAAGCATACAAGCCATTAACACATCAAATGCAGCAGGACTGGTAGGAGAGCCTGGGAGCGAGCCACATGGGTCGGTCTTCCTGATCTCGGGTCTTTTTACAGTTTTTGTTTGGCAAATGGACAGATTGCAATGGTGCCTTTGAAGTGGATGATGTTTGGATAATGTTTCCTTTCCCCATTTAACTATGCTGAGGAGCAGCTGCTTAGAGCCAGATTTAACGGACAGCGTCCTCCGAAGGCACCAGGTGCTTATCCGAGTCCAGGCTTGAACTGATCCGGCCAGGCAGGCACAGGAGGGTCCTGAAAGCGCTAGCACCAGGCTCTTAGCCTTGGCTGGGCTCCTCGACTGCTGCCTGACAGGCCTCCTCCCAGGTTGAACCGCTGGCAGGCCCCCTTCCCCGACTGTGCGTGAAGACCCACACGGGGCTCCGGAGGCCACGATGGAGCCTTGAAAGGGAGGTGCAGGATGCCCCAAAGGTGAGCCCAACTGCTGGCTGCCTTGGAGCTGGCTCTGGGCTCCTCACCGTCGCCAGCCCGAGGCTTTTCTCTCCCTGGTCCTCATGGGACCTCAAACACAGGTGGGGGGGACACTGACAACGTTCATACCCATGACTCATCCACAGAGGAAATAAAACCATCCCTTCTTAAAACTTTATCCAAGAGTCCTGCGGAGAAGCCCCAATTCACTACAGAGGCCGATGATTCACTTTCGCTGATAGCTTAACTTTATGGCCACAGTGGGTGAGGATGAGTCTCCTCTGACCTGGATCGCAATTCTAGAGCTTTCTTTTTTAAAATGCAGCTGCAATAATATTCCCTCCAAAATCTGTTCTTCCCCCACTTCAATTCTGAAAGGAAAATACTGCTACTGAGAAGAAGGCCTCGCCTGGCTCGGATGGGCCCTTTGGGGGTCTCACTGGGGAAAAAGGGACAACCTCTTTAAGGAAAATGAGGTTTTTCTTCTTGGGGCCACTGCTTACGCCTAAAACTGTGTGTCAGATTTTTGGTGAACTTAAGAGGCTCCCGAGACTGACGCAACCCTGAAACTCAACCCAGCCATTTATTAATGTTTAAGGGAAAATGGCAATTTTGTTACTTAACAATAATTGTTTATTTGGAATTACACACACTGACACCACACATATAATGTAGAGTATATAGTATAAATGCTTATTGCTAGCACAGGTCTTTCTGAAGGTACACAGGAGAAAAAGAAAAAATCCTTTCACCATGAATATTGGATATAACAAGAAAACTAATTTCTTAGAACATTGTTTTTTTTTAAAACAACCACCACTTTCTGCTATAACACTACAGGATGTGACATTCATGTTACCCAGCTCAGGAATAATATTTGTGTCTTGCTTGTGCTTCACCACTGGCAGAGAAGAAGATGCAGAAGCAATACTGGCAGAAGACGCTGGAAGGCGACGAGGTGTCCAGAGGGAGTGAGCCCCACCCCCCACCCCCAAAAGGACGGAGGCAGCCCTGGCACTCAGAGGGAGCTTCTCCTGGGCCAGGCAGAGGAAACGGAGGCACCTGCATGCACACACATGGTGTGCAATGAGGCTTGCCTAGAAAATGCCTGCTACTCTGGGCCACGTGGCATGGGTTGGTGGGTGGGTGGGGAGCCATCTGTTCTATGCCACGGAGACCCCTGTGTTGCCTGGAGCCAGTCTTGGGTGCTGCTTGGCTCTGAAGAGGCTGAGTGTTTCTGACACAGACTCATTTTGGAGACCCATTCCTTGAATGCAGCTGAGTATACACAGCTGTCCTCCCAACGGGCCAAAGGCAGCCCAAGAGCCACAGCTCAGCACAGCCCCTCCGGCCTTTGGACTCCCGAAGCCTTGGGAGGCATCCTGGGCTTTGGCCCAGTTCCTGGGGAAGCCTGGCCAGATCTGGCCAAGCGCTGAGCTGTGGCTAGCCATGTGGGAGGGTTCCCCTCAAACCCTCTGCCAGTGATGGGAGGGACAGCTGTTTGGTCATCCAGGAGAGCCATTTCAAAGAGGGCCAGGTTGGCACCTTGGGCAAAGTCATCAGAAGAGCTGGAGGTCTGATGCCTGGGCCAGGGAAGAACCGCCTGGATGATTGGGCCCTTGGGAGTCAACTCCCCGAGAAACTCAGAGGCACCTGAGCAAGGGAGGAAAGCATCTCCCCCCCCCCAGGCAAGGGGAGTACATGGAGGCTCTGGGAAGCCCATTTCACGAAGCAGCAGTGAGGGCTGTTGAAGGGGGCTGCCCCTTGGTGACCCCTGGGGGAAGGAGAGAAAATGGGAGGAGTGGCTGCTGCCTCTCCAAAGTCCTCCAGGAACCCCACCTGTCCAGGCCACCTGTTCCTTCCACCTGAGGAGAGCTAGCAGGGTCTCCCAAGGCATATGGCACAGGCAGTGGGACGGGTGCCCACAAGGTGCCCCAGGCCTGCCTGGCTGCATTGCCCAGAAAGCAGAGTGGCTTTCCCAGCCAGGGGCTGCCTCCTGCCTGCTCCTCCCCAGGAAAAGTCCTCTCAGCAGGGGAATCGGCCGTCCAGCTCAAATGTCTTTCAAAAGATCAAAGGAGTGCGGTGTCAGCAGTGGAGAAGAACCCCTCAAGTTGAATAATGAACTTGGTTATGATGTTATTTTAAAAACAAACAAACATCTGTGTCACTTTTTAAAAATTCCTGAGTGCTCAATCCCTCTAGAGAAAGGTAGAGGTGCGTCTGGCGCTGGGGAGGCCCTTCCTCTTAGGAGTTCTTCTGAGGAATCTTTATGGTCACCGTCTTCACTTCGGAATATTCTCGCAGGCCACATTCTCCCCTGGCCGCAAAAGGAAGACAAGGAGTCAAGGCCGGGCCTAGGTGCCCCCCAACCAGCACTCGGAGCCTGGGCCGTGGACAGGAGCAGCCCCACATGGGCAGGAGCAGGGCTGACTCAAGAAGGACACGTGAGGTGTGGACAGCTCGGACTCAAGGGGTGGCTGGCTGCGGTCTCACTCCCCAAAGGAAGGAGAGAGGAGCCAGGCCACTTGTCCAGCTGGGCAGTTCCAGGAAAAAAGGGAATCCTGGTGAGCTCACCTCAAAGTGTTGTCCAGCAGTTCTCCCACCCCATCCCCACATTCATCTTGATCGGGAGCCCCTGGGACCCTCCCCTCAGAACCTGCAAGCCCAGTCCCCATCCAGAATGACCTTGCTTACATTTCTCTTCCATTGCCGGACATCTTGAAACCCCCAAAAGGACTCTGGGCATTTAAGGCATTGTAGCAGTTGACCCTGGATGAAAAGAGGGAGAGGTGCATGAGGGCAGCCCCCGCCTCACCCACCAAACCGTTGCCCAGCTGTACTCTGAGCCTCACCAGACAGTTCCCGCCTGCATGGCGGAGGAGACGGTCAGAGCCTTGTTGATGTCCCTGGTGAAGACGGCAGCCACCAGCCCAAAGTCGGAATTGTTGGCTCTCTCAATCACTTCCTCCATGGTTTTGAACCGCAGGATTTCTTGCACAGGCCCAAAGATCTGGGTGTGTTTGTGTGGGGAGGTGGGGGGACAGAAGGAGGGCAGAGTCATTGATTGGAACAAGTCCATGAGGATTTGTATGCCACCCCTGTGTGAGGCTTCAGCAGCACATGGGAAAGGATGAAACACAATTAATTGCACAAAAGAAATTCATGAAGCTTTAAGCCTGGGGCAACAGAAAAGAGACGAACAATGGAATGGCAGAAAAGGGTGTGCCCCATCAATGTTCCCCTTGAGGAAGTGAAACACAACCCCCCAAGAGACCCCAGCTGCAAGGCTGAGAAGCACCCAGTGAAACCTCCTCAGACCAGGAAAGGGCAGGAGAAGCACCTCCGGCCAGTTGAAGAGAGACTCAGCTGTCCCTGGTGATGAACTGATTGGTGGCTCTTCCAGGAAGCCATGCAGAGGTTGGATCCAGCTCAACAGCCAAGTAGGGCCCTATAGCATCCCAGCTCAGGAGGACTTGGGGGCCTGGCTGAGCCCAACAAAGGGCTTGAAATCATAGCAGGGGAGGGGGAGAGTGGAGTCGGGCGGGATGTCAGATGGGTACCTCTTCCTTGGCGATGCGCATGTCATCAGTCACGTTGGAGAAAACGGTGGGTTCAATGAAGAAGCCCTTGTGCCCCAATCCTTGGCCCCCGCACTCCAGCCTGGCCCCTTCAGCCACACCACTCTGGATCAGCTCCAGGATCTTGTTATACTGCTTCTTGTCGATCTCAAGAGAAGAGGGGGAGGGGGAGGCTCTTTGGCACCATTGGCCCCGTACTCTGGCCCTGCTTTCCCTTCCGCCCTGCCATTGTGGTCTCTCCCTGCCGATTGCTCAGGATTGGGCTCCAGGCACAAGCGGACCATCCCCCGCCCACCAACCTGTGGCCCTTGCTCGGTGGTGGGGTCAAAGGGGCTCCCCACAACTCTCCTCTTGGCCCGTTCCACGCTCCTCTGGACGAACTCATCGTAGATGGGCTCCTCCACGTAGATGCGGGAGCCAGCCGTGCAGCATTGGCCTTGGTTGAAAAAAACCCCTTGGTGGGCTTGCTCCACTGCCTGCTCCACTGCAAAATCAGAGAGACCCCTGAGGCATCACCCAGCACACCCTGCCTGGCCCTCCAAGGGGGATGGGCTGCTGAGCCGGGGAGGGGGACCAGAGCATCCTGGGGCTTGGGGTGGGAACCCTTTCAATGGGGCAGAGTTCAAGATGGCTTCCAGAGTCCAAGGAGAACTAGGAGAAAAGCCACGAGCTGCTGCTTGTGGCGGTTGTACCAGCTCTGCCCACAATGGACTCATTAATGGTTTTGCTTGCACAAGCCTGGCTGGGTAACATCAGAAGCAAGGCAGAACGTCTCCTGGGTTCAAATGCAAATGCCCTTGGCCTCATTTGTCTGCTGGGGTCCAATCTGGACTCCTGAATGGACCCCTCCTTTCTTTTGAGAGATGGTTTTGATGATTAAAAAAAATAAGATTATTTAAAAATGTAAGTCATGCTGTGATCATAGAATAAGAAGTTAATTTACACTTATAACTGCTATAAAAGAAAATCAAAAATCATCTTTTCTTTCTCTTTTTTTCTGCACTTGTCTTTGTTTTATCCCTTTTCTCTTTATTTTAAATATTATTTCTTCATTTTCTATCTTCTAGAAAGAGAGAGAGGGTTGTTCTGAGAACAGGAGTGCACTGCAAAGGGGCCAACTTACAATCTGCATCCGCAAAAATAATGTTGGGGCTCTTCCCCCCGAGTTCCAGTGTCACCCGCTTCAAGTTGCTTCTTCCGGCAGCTTCTTGAACCAGCTTCCCCACCTGAAAGGAAGAAGAAAGGGGAGCCCAGCAAAGCTCAGTGCACGCCAGGGCTCCGGGCAGAGGGGGCCGCTGGAACCCCTCCACCACCCCTGCTTTGGGTAGGCCAGAAGCCACGGGGAGACTAGAGCGGCTCTAGCCACGAAGCCACGGAGACGTGCGTGGGAGGCAGGCCGGTCTTGGAAAGAAAACCCGGTTCTTCTCAGGTAAAGCTGAGCTTTTACTCAGAGACCGGCCAGTAGCACTTGGCTCCTTTGCATTATGTTAGAGAAGGCCTGATGAAATTTTTACATTTGTTTGATTTGCGCAGAGTGAGGTTTCTCTGACTTTAGAACTACCAAATAACAGCCCAATAAATTTATGCAATTTCAGTGGGGGGAAAGGCTGTCAAAATCCTAGTTGTTCTCATTCGTATTGTTCTTTGAACCAGTTTGTTTTGAATTGCTTTCTTTGTAATTTGTTAAAAACTCTGTTTTAAATTTGTGGTGAGCTGCTTTGGAGATGTGGTTTATGGCTGAATGGAAAATGGTTATATTAAAAGGGAGGAATGTAACCCAGGCAAAAGGAGCCCCTTGCAGGTATTGGACACCTCCCTGGAGCCTTGTGGAGCACGCCAGGCTTATGCAAGCCTCTAGGAGGGGGCCATTTGCTGTGCAAACTTGTCCCCCTCTCAGACCGACATGTAAATCAGCTCCCTGAACCAGTCAGCTGTTGGCGCCCAGCTGAGCTTGTCCTGCCAGACCAGCTACCACAAAGCCAAGGAGGCGGCCTCTGCCCACCCTACACTCAGAATTAGGTTGTCACCAAGGAGGGTAGAAGGCTTGAGCAAGACATTTTAGGGCCGAGGTGGAAAACTGAAAGGAGTTGCTCCCCAGGGGAGGTTCCGTATGTATGTTAGGGTGGAACTTGAGAAGGAGACCCTCTAGGCAAAATGGCTTCCTTTGGCACCAAGAAGCCTGCTTCCCTGACGTCATTCACCAACTCCCAACTGGCTTCCATGGCTGGGGGCAACTTCCTAGCCTCGCAAGGAGGCTCCATTCAGGGTTGCCACTGAGATGGAGATCCCTGCCACATTTGGGTAGAAGGTCTGAAAACAGGTCCAGGAGCCATGCAGAGAGATTTTTCCCCGGGATGGGGGTGGCTCCAGGTGTCCGAGCCTGGAGGACAAGATGCTCTGGGAAAAGTGTAGGCCCAGGCCTGCTGCTCTTCCCAGAGGTGGCCGGCTGGCTGGGCTCTGGCAATGAGGCAGGAGGTGCCTGCTGAGAAGGGCAGCGATGATCAGCGGTAAGACAGCTGTTTGCTCCAAACATTTGCTTGGCGTGAACCAACATTGGCCTCTCCTGTAGTTTGCTTTGATGGTCCTGCCCCATATCTTGTTGACTAATGATGAACTTATGCTTTGTTCAGCTCTTCACGGCATAAAGAAAACACTCGCACAAATGAGGCAGGAACAGCCTTTCCCAAGCCTTTGATCGAAGTGGCTGAGGGACCTGGCTGAGCATCTTGGACCTTGCACCAAAACCATTAAAAAGAAACACAACTTTGCAAAACAGAAGGAGTCCGGCTCACTGGGGTGTGTCTCTGCTGCACCACCCAAACCCCGACCATTGCCGAGGGAAAGTAAACTTGGATCAAACTTCAATTGTTCTGAGATGAGTCTAGAGTTTCTGTCTACAGGAGACAGAATGGGGGTGAGGAAATGTAAATCATCTTTTGAGAGGGAAACAACAATGCAATGGCTTTGGGACAGAAACTCCAGCTAAGCACTGGAAATTTACAAAGCTCTCCGAAGAGGAGCCAACCGCAATGTGGCCATCTACAATGTATTAGTGCTTTCCAGCTCCCATAAACGACACCCAAACCTGCCTTCCTGAGTAAATCCCAGTGTGTTGCTGGCCTTTTCCCCACAAGGCTTGCCTGAAGGGATCAGGTCAGGTCAGGCTAATCCAGGAATCCAGTATTCGGTTTCCAAGAGCCGCCGACCAAGAAATTCCCAGCCAGACTTTTAAAAGGGGCCAACAGTGGTTATGGCTACCAAATGTCAGGCCTAAGAGACATCCTGCAAGACCACCTAATTTTGGAGAGTTCATGGTGTTTCATTTAATCACTTGCTTTAGGAAGTGCGGAGTAGAAGCCTTTCTCCTCCATCTCTGCTCATCCATGTCTTGTTCCTGTTATTCAAGAGATCTCACGGAAGGTCTTCCCTCCTGATGCTTCACCTCTTTGCTCGGCAGCCCCCTACTTTCCCTACAACCCAAAAAGGTTTTGTCTTCTGCTTTTTGCCTCCTTGGCAATGAACACCCCTCTACTTTTTGGCTCAGCAGTAGAAACGAAGCAGAAGGCACTCCAGTCCGGGGGGGGCATGGAAATGACCCACAGATGCACCAATGTGGGGCATGCAGAGCAAGGCTGACTTGGGACAGACCCACTTGGTCCACAGCCCCAGCCTGGCCCCCAACTTTGCAGCCTGATTCCATTGGTGGCCCAGGGAAAGGGGGGCGCATCTCTGAAATGTCAATGGTGCCAAGCAGCTGAAGGAGGAAGATCAAAGGAGCCACCCTCAGAGGGGCAGCTGGGGGGACCGATGGAAAGGGAAGAGAGAAGCGGGAGCCTCCTGCCTCCCCCATGCCCAGCTTCTCCGAATGCTGCTTTGCAGAAGAAGCCGGCCACAGAAGGAAAAGGAGAGGCTGGCAGTAACCATCCCTTTGGCGGAGAAGGGAGGGCCTCGAAGGAGGGCTGTTTTGCTCATTTCCCCACTTCTGATGCCTGGGGGTCAGGCACAACTTTGGGAAAAACAAGGGCCACATTGCGCCTGCTTTGCAGCGCCATCTCTAATGAGCCATAGATGAAAAGCTGGCGATGGGGGGGTGGGGGGACTGTGTGGGAAGTGACCCATGACCAGGGAGTTTGGGGAAGATGGTCCCTGGCCGTGAGAGGCTCATGGGCCGCCAGCCCTCCACCTGTGGGAGGTGAGCCCTGCACAGGGGAGGGGGCTCGAAGCGGGCACATCAAAGGATCCCAGGAGGAACATCCATTCTGGTGCCCAAGCGGGAGGAAGAGGAATGGTGCCTGGGATCCTGGAAAGGCCGAGCCAAACCTGTGTCCGTCCCAGGCGGACTGAGCGTCGCTCAGTATCACCTTGGGTGAAGCTGCAAACCTTAACTGCTGGATACCTCCCAGTTACCAGCCTGGGCAGAGATCCTGTTTTCATCAAAAACCTCCTAAATTTGGCGGCACCTTTTTCTAACCAAGCCTGCAGAGAGTCCAGGAGCACGGCTGAAGAATAAGCGCTGCCTTGATTTCCAGCCCTGCCAGGACAGAAGCTGTGCCAGCCGAGTGTCTCTTCCTATGCAGTCCAAGGATTCTGGGGAAAGAGCTTTGGTGGCAAAGGGTTCCACGCTTGAGCAGTGCATCAAGAACGGCTCTTGTTACAGGTGAGAAAAAGAAAAGAGGGGAAGGGGCTGCAGGGGGCTGGAAAGTTTGCTTCAGAGCACTTCCTCTTGCCCGCCAGCCCTGAGGACCAACAAGCATTCTCCAGGAGGGATCCAAGACCACTGCAGGGCTGCAAACCCCGCGTCCAGGGGTGAAATCCTCCGTGGTTTACCATCTGTTCGCTGCCCGTGCATGCGTGGTACACGCCAAATGCACGCTGTGTGCATGCACATGTGCAGTGCACACCAAATACACTGTGTGTGCGCATGCGCAGTGTGCACCAAACGCACACTGCGCACAGAAAAAGGATGCTTAACAAGGTAAGTAGAACAGTGAGGGGGGGGGAAACAGCTGTGCCGCGCTATTTAGATTCGCTACAAAGCAGGACATCCTGCTTTTACTACCGGTTCGCCGAATCAGTAGCTTTTATCACTACCAGTTCGCCCAAACCGGTGCGAACTGGCAGGATTTCACCACTGCCCGCGTCTTTTAATACGTCAGTGGGCCTGAGCCAAAAGCTGTTCTGTCTACTTCTCGGCCGAAACTGGGGGTTGCTGGAGCTGAGTTTCTCGGGTAGCCAGGAGCAGAACAAGAGCCCTCGCAAGGGATTGTGGGGAAGCAAGGAGGCTTCTCGGGGCTCAGCAGGCCAAGGAACGTATCTCCAAACATCTTTGGAAGGGACTCGGCTGACCTGCTGCTCCAAGAATTCCACAGGACAGGAAATCAAAACCAACATGAAGCAGTTTACACTCAAGTTGGATTAAAATATTCCAGCTGCTCCTGCTTTAGGTTCTTAGAGAATGGCTTTTTTTCATCCTGCAATGCTTTTTACTTCCTGCTACCAGCTTTTCAAAGCAAATACCAAATTTGGGCAAAATCCAATTTAATTTTAAATGCCTATTAAAAATGAAAGCCCTCTGAAATGACAGGGAACATTTATTTTGGCTGCAATTGGCAGTTCTGAAACTGAACCTTTCTGTGTTTCCTTCCCATAGTAAGTCAGTAGCAGCCTGTGCAGGAGTCTCCTTAACCAAACACAGGCCGGAGCCGTTCACCAAATTCACTAGGAAACCTGACAGTCAGTTCCCTCAGACTCTAAGGGAGCGCGAAGGGAAGGGGGAAGCCCCTCCCTCATAACCTGCAGGAATCATTGAAGGTGCCCTGAGGGGGTGAGGCTGGGACACAGACCCCTGGAGCAGGGAGGACGGAATTACACAAGATCTGAGAAATGATGGGAAGAGGGGGTGCCATTACTGGAAAGGCGCTGAGTACCAGCCACAACACTAGCCGTCTGGCACCTGGTCCCTTCTTGGCATGGGGGTTCCTGAAGGCTTAGGTCCCTTAATGCCAGTGCAAAGGATGGGGTGATGCTCTCTTCTCCCCCACCCCCACACAGCACCCACTCTTACCTCTGTGGAACCTGTGAAGGCGATTTTATCAATCCCTGTGTGAGAAGCAATGGCCGCCCCCACCGTGGGTCCAAATCCTGGCAAAATGTTGACCACGCCTGGAGGAAACCCCGCCTGTCAAGGAAGGGGGGAGGGAGAAAGAGCACAGCTGAGCGAAAGCCGTGGAGATCGGGGGCCCGGGGCCACGCACGTGCTGGGGGCTCCTTACCTCCTTAATGAGGGTGCCCAGGTGGAGGGCAGTGAGTGGGGTTTGCTCAGCCGGCTTGAGGACCACCGTGTTGCCACAGCAAAGGGCTGGTGCGATCTTCCACGCAAACATCAGGAGGGGGAAGTTCCACTGTGCAAGCAAAACGCTTTTGTTGTGAGTTAGTCAGCACATCATTTGAATCAAGAAAAAGATCCTGGATCGGTTGACTGGAGGGATTGGCTTTGTCCTTATCCTTGCAGCAAAATTCTCTCTCCTTTTATATGGTCACAGGTGACAGAGGGGCATGCAAATCAATTCTGTGATCCCGCCCCATTGATTGCCCCATGGCCCTCAACCAACTCTGCGCTGTGTCTCAGCCTGAGTGCAACTTGAACAGAGCGATGTGGACTCATGGAATGACTTTTCCCAGAAGAAGCATTTTGTTGCCAATTCCTGCAAGAAACGGGGGGAGGGGGAGCAAATGCCACACAAACTGGCACAGGGAGGCTGGCACAAAGGGCCCCTTGGGAGCCCTGCTCCATTGTGAGACTTTTCAGCACCCTTCCTGCCAAAAGCAGAAAGCTGAGGTGCTGCGGTTTTGCTTGGTGTCCAAAGGGGAGGAAGGGGCTGGCTGCCGGCTGAGGGGGAAGAGTGACCCTTCAGCTGCACTGCTCAACAGACCCTCCAGGCCCCCTGGGCTAGTTGTCCTCGGCTGTTTCAGGAAAGAAGGCACAAGGGATGGCACCCACTGCCTCCTTGCTGGGTGCCCCAACATTTTGGACCTGTTGAAGACAAAGGGTAAAATGCCTCCACGAGGGTGTCTGTTTTCTTTCTTTCTTTCTTTCTTTCTTTCTTTCTTTCTTTCTTTCTTTCTTTCTTTCTTTCTTTCTTTCTTTCTCCTTCCTTCCTTCCTTCCTTCCTTCCCTCCTTCCCTCCTTCCTTCCCTTCCACCTCCCTGCGTGAGTCTCTCTTGGCCAACAGCCACCAAAGGCTGCTGGATTGTTTGGCTTTACTCACTCTGGTCCTGGGAATTCTGAGGCTGGAGGCTCCCCTAATAACGCTGCTCTAAAACTCTATTAAGATGTGCAAATAAGCCGTGGAAGGGCGACTGACGGCTACGAATCCGCCTGCAGTGTGTTTCCCCTGCCTCTCTCCCGGCCCGGCCGCCCCTAATGAGAAACACACCCAGGCTGAAGCCCCTTCAAGGGAGCCGATTCCAATGAAAATAAATACGAGGTGCAGCGGAGAGACTCACCGGGATGATCTGTCCACACACCCCGATGGGCTCATGCCTCGTAAAGGTGAAATAATCTCCGTCTGGAAGAGAGGGGCCTGCTTACTCTCACCAGCACCCCAAGAGGAGCAACTGGAGGGAGACGCACAGCACAGCCTGCCGGCCTGTGTGTCTGTGTGTGTGTGCGGGCGCGCGTGGTACCAGAGGTACGCTGGGGGGCATCGCACGGCCAGCCACGAAGCCCAGGTGCTCCCATCCTCTGGCAGAAACAAGCCCTTCCCTGACCATTTCTCCCCTTCAGGGGCTCCATCTGCTCCGTGGGCCACAGCCCACCACCCAGCTGGTGACCCGAACACCAGGGACTTTGCCTTCGGGAGAGGCGAGCCAAAGCCCCTGACCTGCGGGCTGGTTCTGTGGACTTCCTGGCTATTCTGCTTTGAATGGGGCCTGCCTGGGAAGGCTCAGTTTGGAAGGGCGGATCCGACCAAGTGCCCACCAGGCGTGTTTTTGCTCAAAGGCCAACCAAGCAGGACCTGGCAGAGAGGCCTGGCAGTGCCAGACATCGCTTGCCTTGCAGAAGGCTGCAATCGATCTGGGTGATGCCGGGCACAGCACCCCCCAGGGTCATCTAGATCAAGGGAGGCCACGGGGCCTTTTCTGCCTTGCCATATTTCCCACTCCTTCCACTGAACAATTTGGGGAGGGGGCTGGAGGGAAGAGGATCTGCCTTGCCAGCTGGGGTCTGCTTTGGTGAGTAGTGATGTTTTCAAGGCATTCCAAGGAGCCACATAAAGACTGGCCAGTTATCAGCAAAAAGGGAGTGAAGCCAGAGCAGATACGGAAAGCTTCCACCCCACAGAGGGAAGGGGAGGCTAATTAGGAAAAGACCCAGAGGAGATAAAAGGAGACGGAACCCCCTCCCCATCCTCCTGTTGGGTAGGCCAGTCAGCAGCCAGAGACATCTGGAGGCATCAGCTCTGGGCAGGCCATACCAGGCAGTGCAGCTGCAGCCAGCTGTTTTTGGGGAAGGGGCTGCCTCACTGCCAAGGGATGTTTGGGACTTGAACATTTTCTGACCAACCCCATTTGGGAAGCCAAAGGCCCTTTCGGAGCCCAAGCCAGGAGAAGCAGCTCTCAAGGAACCATTTTCTCTGCTGTGCCAACCTGCCAGGACTTCCAGAGCTCAAGGCAGCCTTTGTGGGCACCTTTTCCTCACTCTCAGGATTTGCAGTTTAAGGGACCAACTTAATAGCCTCCCCTCAGGCAGAAGGGTTTCTGGGGAGAGGGAGATTAAAGTCGGCCGTCTTCTCTGTACCTTGCCTGCCCACCTGATATGCACTATAAAATGGGTGTCAGTGAGGCCGAGTAACAGTGTTTGACAAAAACAGACCGCTTTGCCCAAATGTTGATCTTTCTGCGGCTGCAAATTGCCCTCCTGGGTGGAAACTGAGCAGGCAATGCTGAAAGTTTTACTGTTTCCATAAAACCACTGAAATTAAAAGGATCCTGCTTTAAACTGGGGCAGGAAAGCATCAGGCCCTTTATGGTTCTCATCTGGCTGTGTTTCAGCAGCCTTCTCCGCTCAGGGGAAGGTGGTGATGGCCGGGGGGATCCGCCTGGGTGCTAAACACAGCCCAACAAGCACATTCTGCCCCAGAGAACAATGGGCCTGCAGGAAGACCAGGGGCATGAAAGGGACCCCTCTAGCGGAGGATTGCCCTGCGTCCACTCACAGGTGACCAGTCTCCATTTGGAGACGCTGCTGGATCTTGAAATGGCGAAGGTGCTAAAGGCCCAGCTCTGAATTTAAGGAAGAATTTAAGGATCTTTGGGCTCAGAGGAGGAAAAATAGTTGGGGGGGAGCTGCTCCCTGCAGGTGCCCCCGCCTGGCACTGGAGATATGCCACAGAACTAATTTCAGGGCAGATTCTAACTTACCCACCGGGATGGTCAATCCGTGAATCTTGTCTGACCAACCGGCGAAATACCTCAAGGTCTTGATGACGCCATGAAGGTCAACGTAGAAGGCTTGGAGGAAGGGCTTCCCACTGTTCAGCGACTCCATGGTCTGGAAGGCCAAGAGGAGCAAGAATCAAGGCTTAGTTTTCAGTTTGGTAACAGAAAGAGCTGTGAGGAGTGTCTGGCAGGACAAGCCAGCATGCCCTCAGTGTCTAGTGCACATGAAGAGAGATGGCACAGAGCTTCCCAGAACTGCCAATCCGTCTAACAGCAGAAAGCTGCCAGAGGCCTAACAAGAAGTAATTCAGGTCAAGGCCAGGTGGGACCTCGGTTTGATTCATCTGGAGACCCCACTTGCAAGGTCAAAATCCTGAGACATTGCTAAGGGGGCTGCTTAGGACACACAGCCTCCACTGTGCATTGCACCGCAGCCAGTTCTGTGCTGGATGGGGGGAGGGCACTGTCTTTTTCCACAGGGGTGAAATCCTACCGGTTCGGACCGGTTCGGGAGAACCGGTAGGGGACATTTGGCCTGGTTCGCCAAACCGGTAGCAACCACTGGCTGATCATGCCCCCCGATCTAGTCCCCCAGGTGCCACTCACTCGCCCTGCCCAGTCTCTGCTCGGCCGGCAGCCCTGCCATGCTTCCCTGCCTTCCACTCAGCCTTCCCGGTGTCCCCATGGCCAGCTTGTGAAGGCAGGCAAGCGGAAGGCCATGTGAAAGGCAGGCAAGCATGTCAGGGCCACGGGGAAGGAAGAAGGGAGCTAGCAGCCTATTCCCTTCTCCGCAGCCCTGCCATGCTTGCCTGCCTTCCACGTGGCCTTCCCAGCAATCCCCCACACCTGCTTGCCTTCTGAGGTCGGCATCCAGCCCGGCCAGTGGGTGGGTAGGAGGCCCTTGGTGGAAATGCAGATGCTATGCTGGGGCTGAGAGGGGCGGCAGCAGAGCTCCAGCCAGCCACTTGCCTGCTCTCTTTCACTGCTGATGCCACTCTGGAAACTCGGTCTGTGGAGTCTGGTACTCCGGGGAAAGGAGGCTTGGCCGTGGCACCGCTTCCCGCCAGCAAAGAACTGGAGTGAGAGGCGTGAAAGTCAATGCCAGCTGGTGGGGCAGCAGCCCCCTGCACAGGGAGAGGGCCAGGCCCGACCGCACTACCGCAGAGCCCGTGGCACTTTCCCTTCAGCCTGGGCAGCAGCGCTTACCCAGCCGGGCCAATGCGGGTAGCCCTTCATCTTGCTGAAGAGCAGGTTGCAGCACTTATAGTTCCACAGCTAGCTGGAGCGAGACATGGCGTGGGTGGAGAGGTCAATGCAGCCCCCGCCGAGGCCACCCTGGCTGAGCGATTGCTGCGCCTCCACAGCAACAGGTGCGCTGGGGCCGCCTTGCCTGCCTTCACCTCTGTGCGCTGCACTTGGAAGGGGCCGCTGCTCTCCCTCCCCGCATGGCTGCACAGTGTGTAAATGTCCGCCTGCACGTGCATGTGCTGCACCGCCTCCGTTCGCTTTCATTTTGCGGTGGAAGAAGGAAGAATGCGAACGGTGGCGGTGCAGCACATGCACATGTGAATAACCCTAACCCTAACCCTGCCCTCCCAGAGCACCCCGTGCCACCGCCGTTTGCCTTCATCAGCGGCAGCAGGCAAGTGTGTGTGCATGCACGGCCGGCGCATGGAACAGGGCGGCGATGGCAGCGGCATGTTTAAGAAGGGGAGCGTCGCTCTGCTAAGTTTTGCTACAAGAAGCCTGCAGGTGCTGCATCTTTTGGCGCAAGAAGTGCCTCCAGGCGCACCAAGAAAAAGAGGCTGCAGCAGCAGGCATCTCGCAACAGGGGAAAATAGGATTTTAGAATAGAAAATAGATATTAAAAAAAAATTCCTACCGGGTTCTGTAGGTGTGGCTTGGTGGGGGGTAGTCATGTGACTGAGTGGGCATGGCTCTGAGTGATGTCAAGTTGGCCACACCCACTCAGTCACAGGATCCCCCCCCAGCAAGCCACGCCCACAGAACCGGTAGGGAAAATTCTTAGAGTTCACCACTGCCTCAAAGCCATTCCAGCAGCAGTTTTCTGGCATGTAACAGTAACAGTAACAGAGTTGGAAGGGACCTTGGAGGTCATCTAGTCCAACCCCCTGCTCATGCAGGAGACCTGTAGTAGGGATTCGAACCGCCGAAATGCCGACCTTTCTGATTGACAATCTCAGTGTCTTAGCCACTGAGCCACCTAGTCAGGGGGACTAGGTACCCCTGAAAAGTAGGGACCCCCCCCAAAAGCACTCTGGTCCTGGTGCCCCAAGGGCCGGAGGTGCAACTCAGCCTCTTTGAGGGCTGCCCTGCCCAGGTCATTCAAACTAGCCTTTTGGCCTCAGCACAAGGCAAAATGTCCTCCGGCCCTCTCGATGCTGGGACCAAACAGCTGCCAGGTGGCAGCTCCCAAAGAGGAACTGGATGGTCCCTCCAGGGAGAGCCGAGCGGCTGCTGAAGAATGCCCGTCTCAGCTGCTGCCCGAGGCTCCTCTGGCAGTCGAGATAGCTCCCGTGTCCTTCCCCACCGAGGCTGCAAACCAATCAAAAGGAGCCGCAGGCCCTGGTTGAGGAGCTATTCCCATACTCCTCTTAAGGAGCCCCATAAAACGTTTGCTGCCATGGCTTAAATCACTTTTAAGAGCCCCCATTATCTGCCCATGAAGGTTGCGGCAGAGGAAATGCATCTGTGGAAGCTGCTGGGTGAGAGCCATAAATCCAGCTGAAGCACAGGAGGGCCGCCGCTCCTCCGTTTCCCTGTCGGTGGGGCCGACAGCCGCATCTGTGGTGGACAAATTCAACAAAGGTTTGGCTCAGGAACCACAAATCCAGCCACCGGCAGACGGCCGACTGATTTGCTGAGCCCCTCCCTTCTCCCTGTGGTGATTTTACAGCGTATGCTGGTGGTAAGATGATTTAAGTGTTGACAAAGCTGGAATTAAGATGTTTGCTGGCTTAGTTCAAAGCGCTTGACATGTGGAAAATAACATTAGCCATGCCACCGTGTCGGGTCTCACCACGTGCTCCACTGCCGTGGGCTGGACCATGCAGCTCAGCGCCTCTTGGGCATCCTGGGTGGGAGGAACCCAGAGCTGCCCAGGGTTGACCAGGATGGTTTTTGCACCATTGTCAGCTGACTCTGCCCTGGAGCTCAGTGGCTACTCTCAGTGCTCTCCCGAAAACGTACAATGGCTCGAGTTGAAGAAGCATTTCGAAAGACAGCTTCCTTCGGTAGCGTTTGGCCTCCTCCCACAATGTCCCACCCACCCGACTTACGGCAAGGAGGGCCCGGTCTCTCTCCACCAGATCGGCCAGCTTTTCCAGGAGGCGTCCTCGTTCAGAGGCATCCATCCTCCGCCACACCGAGCCCAGGGAGAAGGCCAGCCGAGCAGCCTGCACCGCCTTGTCTGTGTCAGCCTGCCAAATGGGAGAAGCAGGTGGGCCAGAGATGCTCAGGACGACCCAAGAGCCACCCCCTTGCTTGGCAACCAGAGCGCCGCCCCCCCCGAAAGCAGCAACCTGCGGTTTCTGCAGTCCCACAGGGGGCTTGGGGAGACCAGGATGTCAACTCTTCCCTGGCCATGGAGCCGGCTAGGCCATTGGCCTCTGGCCATTTTTCTCTCAGATTGACCTACCTCACAGGACCATTGCAGGGAGATGCGAGGGCAGGCTAGAAACGCTACTTATCTTTACCTTGTCAGCTTCTTGCACATCACAGATCTGTTCTCCTGTTGCAGGATTAAATACAGGGAATATTTTCCCACTCTCCGAATTTTGCCACTCATTGTTGATAAAAATCTGAAAAGGCAAGAAAAAAATGGGCCTTTTTGATTTTGGCTAAAATGCAGAGGTTCCCTTCCTCTTCCCTCTTCTGGCACTTTTGGGGTGCTGGAAAACCTCCTCCTCTCTCTCCTAGAGGCCTTTCCCACCCAGCCTCCTTCTTGCACCTGCGTCCTTTCAGGACTACAATTCCCAGCATTCCTGGTCACCATTACTTTCCCACAGGGCTCATGGAAGCCGTAGTTCCACTTGCACCACGGTCACCAGGTAGGGAAATTCTCCTGAGGCTGCTTTCCCTGGTTTCAGGGTTCCCTTCTGGGGGCCAGGACAGAGGCTGCCCTAAAGAATGGCTTCCTGCCTGCCTCATTTTTTGTTGTGTGCAACTGACAGAGACCCCCCTGGCTGTGCCTGGCTTAGAGGAGGGGGATTGAGTGCCTCCGGTTTTGGCAAAACTAGGGCCCTTCCATCAGCCCCCCCCCCATCTGTCCTCCCACTTTTCTTGGGGTGATGCTCCCAAAAGCAACCGGCCACAAGTAGGCTGAAAGCCCCCCAGGGACCTTCCCCATCCGAGGCTGCTGAGCATTGCAGGGGCGCCTCTCGGGTGTCTGCATCTCACCAAAAGGGGCCGACCGGGTCTGGAATCTCGCAGTGCAGGAAGAGGTGGCGGAGGAGTTGCTACTGTTAATGGTTAACATTCGCTTCTTCCTATCCCACGATGTTGTATAAACAAAACTCAGGCTTTGCCAGCTCAATTCTGTAAACGGACTGCCTTCAATTTGGCTGTAAAGGGGGAATATTTACTCTCTCCTCCATATAAAGTACCTCGTCCAACTTCTTGGAAAGGTTTCAAGTCCTGAAATTCAGCAGCTGGCGGCTTTACAAGCCCGATCTCATGCTGAAATAACTCACTTTTGGGGAGTTATAGGCATTTGGTGTCAGGTAGTGCCACGCCACAAGCCCCCTCCCTGCTTGGTGGATTCTTCAAGGATAAATGAGGCTTTGCCAGGACTTTTAAGAACTTCCAGTGGATGTTGATTAAATGCTGAGAGCTGCACATTTGATCTGACTTTCATTAGGGCCAGTTCGTAAAAATGCCACCAGCTCGGACAAGGATGACACATTGTGCAAACAGGGATCCCTGCGAAGCCTCAAATGGGGTTTTCGTTCCACTCGTTTGTTTTGTTCTTATTTATTGCGACCATTGTAGTGGACAACGTTAAATCAAGGCAGCTATTTGACAGCAAACGTTGCTATCAGTGAATTATATACAGCTCTTCCCCAAGCCCAGAGGAAGAAAGGGATAGCCTCAGGGAGAAAGGGCCCCTTTGTAAATCATGCCCAGATTGGCACCGCCCAGAGGGGGCATTGTTCCTTCTCAAGTGGGAAAGCTCTCCGGCCGGCACAATTGCCCTGGAATCAGGGTTAATTAAGGCTAGCCGCAGTCATAAATCAGCTGGGGGATTTTTACAGCTTAATTCAGCCTTAAGCCACAGTGCGTGTCGGTGAATATATGGACGGTAACTGATTAACCAGGTTTCCCAAGAGTTGCTAAGACGGGTGTTTTGGGTTGAACCCAGAGTTACGGCTCTTGGGGTGAAAAGACAAGGGGAAGGGGAGAAGTAGTTAGCCATGGGCGCTGTCATCCAATGTGGTCGGAGCACTGACCGTGAGGGCAGGCTGGTTCTGTCAGATTGGGGGGGCATCACTCTGCCCCATGGGCTCTGATTGAACCCCTGCCCCTCAGCTGCTGCAATCTGCTGGGAAAATGCCACCTGGTGCCCATCGTCCTTCTCTTAGCCAAAGGTCAATGGAATTGTGGCCACTTTTAAGGGTAGAGAAATTTTCAAGAAGAATGGAAGAACTTCAAATGCAAAAACATCTTCCAGTCTTTTTCATAGTGGCCTTTTGACAAACCAGAGAAGAGCAACACCTTGCAATGGCTTCTTTTTATGGCCTGGAGCTCAGAGAGGCAGCCGGATGCTTCTGGCACTCACCTGGGCCTTTTCTCTCACAGGGAGAGTTTTGCAAAGAAAGACAGAGATTGCCATCCATTTGGCCCCGGAGTTCCCAGTCGCTGTCCAGCTCCCATTTCCTTTGCTGGGAGACTCCCATGCTACTGCATGGGATGCGCGATCCTCTCCGTGCCACTGGGGCTGATGTCACTGGGATGCCTCTTGAACCAGCCACCCATGTCCACCAGAGCCGTGGCCTGTGGTCAGCAGTGGAGACTGAATGTGCTTCCCCGGGCCTTGCTTTTCCCTGGTTTTAGTAAGCCCCGTCCTTGTGCTGCTTGACATTCCAGAAGGATTTCCCCCTTTCTGTACAGGAAAGGGATTTCAGCATCCACTTAATAACAGGCTCCCCTCCCCCCCCCCGGCAGTTTCATCCGGTTTTTGGATGAATCAGAATTTCCTAGTTGCACTGATTTAGTAGCTGGTTACAGTTTCAGTTCCATCAAAATGCTTCGCTTTTCATATGATGCTTGAGCCTCTGAGAGTTTCTGAGGCCAAACCTGTAAAACTGGAGTGCGGGGGGGGGGGGAGGGCACAAATGCCAGAGACGCTTCTGGAGGAATCACAGCTGTTTGGCCCCAAGCGTCCCTCCTGCGGCTGGAGCTGAGTACATAACGGTACTTTTTCGGGACAATTTTGAAAACACGCAAAAAATGCAGCAGTTTGCATTTCCCTAGGTAGGTATTTCATAATCCCACTGACTCTGGGCCAGCACTTGTGCCTCTGGCCATGCTCCAGTCTTCCTGTCCTCATTCTGGGCAAACAAACCCTGGTGCTCTTCCAAAGGCTGAGCCTCCGTGCTTTCTCTGCTTTGGGCCTGGTGGCTGCCCTGATCCACCGGGGACCACTTCCACGCAGGGGAAGATCCTGGGTGCAGGTAAACAGGGGAAATGTGACATCCCCCCTCCAAGTAGTCATCCACCTTCCCCTGGGAGGAAGGTCAGTCCTTTCCGGGCTTTTGCCCTTGAATACACGAGGGGGAAGGCAGGGACCCTTGCCTGAAATTGCTTGGCCCTTTAGGTGGCTGGACTGCCTAGGCCAGTCCTCTTCCATAGGATGAGCATCATGGGGACACAAAAGGTGTAGGTCTGTCTGCTGTTCTCTGCCAAGAGGCCCCTGAGAGTGGGTGGGGCTGAGCCCAACAGTTCCGCTCTGGTTGATTTGACCATTAGTCTTTCAGTTGTCCAATTGTGGGGAGGGGGCTCACAGGGAACACTGAACAGCAAATTAGCCACATAAGCTAGTGGGGTGCCAAGCAGTCTGAGGCAGCCAAGTCTGCCTGCAGCATGGCAAGCGCAGATGCCAGCCTGAAAACCGGGGATCCCTCTGAGCAGAGATGCAGGGTTGAAGGGGAGGCAGAGAGGCTGGCTGGTGGGCAGGGGAGAGTGGCTTGAGCAGAGCCCGATGGGGAGTCATGGAGAACGAGATGGAGTGCCGAGAGAAGGAGGGAAGGGCCCCTTTGGGATGAGTCAGAGGGAAGGAAGGAAGGAAGGAAGGAGGGTCTTTCTGCACATTACTCCAGGACCCCCACTTTTGGGAGGCAGAGAAAGAATCCATCCCCGAAAAAGAAGGGAGGGCAGGCCCCAACCCACCAGCAGTTGCTGATCAAACGGATCTCGTTCAACTCCTAGGATTCAATGACTGCTTGCAGGGAGCAGCTTGACACCAACCAGGCCCTGCTGGGAGAATTTCCTGGTGGATTGGGCCCCTTTTCAGTAACACGGGGTTGAATTATGCCTCTCTGTGTTGTTTTAGGTGAAGAGAGTAATTCTAGCCTTCCTGTTAATAATCAGCTCCTGGAAACGCTGTTCTTTACTAGAGAACACCTCATCGTTTTAGGGAGGACACAATCTCTCTCAATATTTATCTCTTAAAAAGCAAAACGAAGAAAGGCCATGGGAAAAAGATGGGGAGGGGAAGCCCCCAATTCCGCTCCACAGAGATGAGGAACGGCTGGAATGCCGTTGGCTCCATCCTTCCCGGCCCCTTTGGCCCGATGCTTCTCCTTGGTGTGATAAATCACCGGCTGAGTGTCTACCTTGCCTGTTTGATCTCAGTTCAGCAAGACTCAGTTTTGAAGTGAAAAACTCCAGGTCTGATAGGCCAGAGACAAAGCGCAGAGCCCCCTGACCTGGGGAGGCCCAGCCCACAGAACGGCTGAGTGGCTTTCCGGGGCCCAGTGCAACCCCTGCCCTGCCCTGTCAACCAGCCCACCTCTTTCCTGCTTTCCCAAGCCAAGCCTATCTGGGGGGCTTATGACCAGGCCGGTCCTAAAGAAGGCGGCCCTGGCCCAAGCCACCCTCACAGCCAAGCGCTCCTCCCAGGGGACTGCAAAAGTCAAGCTTGCACACCGGGGGGGTGGGGGAGTTTCTACCGCTTGGCCCCGGTTCGGGCGAACCGGTAGTGGTGGTGGCGGGAGGTTCCACCCACCCGCCCGGACATCATCATGGACGCTCTGCGCATGTGCAGAAGTGCCCTGTGCACTCCCGGTTCCGAACCAGTAGCGAAGGTAAGTGGAACCCACTGCTGTTGCACATGTCAATTTTCCCCCACCCCAAGATTTCGTTTGATGGGCAAAAGCATGTTCTGGGTACAGAAGGGTTTCTGCAGAGAGCTTGGCCCGGGTGGCAGCGCTGCAGAAGTGTTCAGAAGGGGTCTCTCCATTGCAATTGCCCTCGGTGCCAGTGGCAGCCAACAGCTGGAATTGAATTGCAGGGAGCTCGGAGACGGGGCGGCTTTGGATCCACCCAGGTGGGATACTTGCTGTTCCATGACTCTGGGGCCTCAGCGCTGGCCACCTGTGATCCCTTTGGTGATAGGGACCGAGCACTCTGGGAGTCACGTGAAGGGAGGGCCTCTTCCACCCCTCCCAGCACTTCCCCAAATCCCTCTTTCCTGCTGCAATATCTCTGGGATCTTCTCTTGCCTGAATTCAGGCCATTCTGAGCCTGCAGAGTGGCCGGTTTCCAGGGTGTCTCTTTGGCAGTGTGCCAAAGGCTGAAGAGC